TTGGTACGTCACTATTTTCTGATGGTTTGGAGGCAAATGTAGAAATCACAGTTGACTAAATCTTTATTTTGAGATAGAAAAGTGTTGTTGAAGCGTTTATGGGCTTTGATAGATTATGTCTGCAAGATGTTTGTCTCGAAACTTTGTTTTGAAGGATCGCCGTGTCGGGGATGGTTTTTCTCGGTATAAATAAAATGGTTGTAGTTGGTTTTATTGATAAAGAATCAAAACTTGGCATGTATTTATTCGTCAGTGAAAGTTGAGCATTTTCTTTTTTTTTAGAGAAAACTTGTTGTAATTCTGAGCGATCATTCAATTTTAAACTGTTTTCATAAAGTTCAGGAACTGGTACTGCTGAGAAGGTACGACTTATGCTTTTGCAGGATGGTATAAGAATGAATTTTTTTCTGTTCTAGAATGCTGTTTATCTATGACTGGTAATTTTTCAGTTTCAAAAATTTTTTATTGAAGATTTGTTGAGCAAAATTTTTTTTTTTTTTTTTGAAGGAAATAGGATTGAACTTTGAGTGAATTGGTATTAACTAGCAACTGCTGGTCTTGGTTGAATTGTAGATTTCATTAATATTAGAATAGGACGACCCATTACCAAGGTGATTAGGATTTGGTTGGTAAGAGAAATTGAAGCTGAAGAAATTATTTGTTCCTTGCTGAGAAGGTATGAGGTACTTTGTTGAGTGAGCTTCACGTTATTTAAGGAAGTAAAATTAATGACAGCAAGACTTGTTTAAGCTTTTCCAAGGTAATAACTTCTTTGACTGGCAGAAAAATTGATAAAAGAAATGGTTTTATTGGAGTTTTTTTTGAAGGAAGAAATTTCAAAATTTTGATAACGACTCGGTTTTTTGCGTTCCGCCCTATTGTAATCGGTGGTGTGACATCTTTTTAGTCGTCCGCCTGTCTGCAGTTTTGAAACTGCAAATAAGTACCACCATTAAGACTTTTCGTTACTTATTGTTTTTCCACCATTGCTTTATGTTTCAACTTTTTCTGCAAACACTGGTAAAACATTAGTTTATAGTTCCTCGGAGTAAACTGTGGTATGGCTTGGAATTTGTAGTAATTTCAGCAATTCAATCACTATAAAATCGTCAGAAAAAATTTTTTATCAACTTTCTGTTCTGCTTCTCCTCTGCTGTTGTGACTTGTACCTCTTACATGCTTTGTCGACGACTTTTTATTTTTTGAAATGAGTCTCAATTTAAATTCTCTCAGCAGTACATCGCTCATGCAGTAAAAATCTTAAATCAGGTAAGCTCTAATCTACCGTCTCGCGAATGACTCACACAATGTCTTAAGAAATTCACGTTGCTTGTATTTGTATCCCATACCGCTACATTTGGCATTCAAGATCCATTTACCACAAATATACTCTAATATCTTCGTCAGTGATCTCTGGTTCTTGCCAAACAATTTTCCTCATTCTCTGCTTCCTCTTTACAGTTCTAAACCGCGTCCCGCAAGTGCCGAATTTGACAAGATTTGGCTCAGACTGGACGGGTATTAAAAAAGACGGAACATCTGATAGTTGCAATCCACAGTAATACTGGAAGTACTTTTGCTTGCACTGTGTTAGTTTAAAAAAAAATTAGATTACCGTCTGGTGACTGCTCTTAACGACGCTACTGTTGTCGTATTTGACTTGGGAAATCTGGCTTGAAGAAAGCGAGTGAAATCTTGGTTTAAGGTTTAAATTTTTTAAGCTCTTCATTTAATTAAAAGCTGTTCTACTGGTCTAAGAATTTATACCTTTTTCTGTTCCTTTATCTTTTCAGCTCTTTGATTTCTGTTTCGAATTTAGTCAGTCAAATGCTCTCTTACCAAATATTTAGTCTAATTGGAAACATTTTGAATATATGAATTTGTAACAAATGTTAATTTTTTTCAGCAGTAATGTCTATCTCTTATGAAGCTAAGCAAACGGTAAACGCTTTTACTGCTTTGTAACTTATAATTGGTAAGGCGTAAATGAAGTCTACTGATAACGGTTCATGTGACACGCGCTTAAAAAAGCATCGCTGGGAGCCTATCGAAGAAGCTTTGAAAGGGTTTAATTTGTGCGAAGATATTAGAGACAAGAAGGTACAAAACTGACAAATTTTAGGGCTTCTTCCTCTCTGAATAAAGTTAATTTTAGGTGGTGGTTTTGAGTGTCACCGGTCCATCTCGCAGTGGAAAAACTTTTTTGCTAAATTATCTCTTAAAATATCTGAGTACAAATGAAAAAGATCTCTCAAACGGCAATTGAACCGCAGCCGAGCTGATATTAGGAGTTACTGACAGAGGAAATTTTTTTCAGTTTTTATAGAGGATAATTTTATTTTCAATGGTTTAAAATCTGCAAAAAATAAGCAGATTTCTTCTGCTTTTTTTAAAGAAACTGAAGCTTTGTTTCAACGGTACAGCAGTTCCATTCAAAAGTTGTCTAAAAACATGTAAGAGTTATTTTTAGACTATGCTAAAGAAATGACGGGTATGAGTATGTGGTCAAAACCGTTTTTATTAAAAAATCAGAATGACGAAACTGTAGCAGTCTTGCTGGTGGTACCAACGGTTTCTTCAACTGTGATTCAAGCGGAAGAAACTTTGGAAGGATTTTTGCTCTCTCAAGCTTTTTAGCTTCCGTTCAAGTATGCACTACTAACTTTTCATGATGCCTTCACCTGAAGAATCTGTTTTTCGAAGTGTTATTGCAGGGTCGGCTAGAATCAGTTGAAACTGAAACAGTTATCATGATCTATATTTGTCAGTAGTTTTCAAAAATGTCACGTCAACTTTGATGATCTGCTGTAGCTTAGGTGTACAATCTAGTAAGCCGTTTACAGTTGGACTATTTTAAACAGTTGGAAATCCTCGCACCTTACGGATTCTACGTTGAACGGGGCAAGAAACCAAAACCACTTCAGGTTGTCGCACAAGATTTTCAACTTATCCACCTGAAACTCACTTTGGTTTTTTAATCCTGACCTGAAAAAAATGACGCTTTAGAATCTGATGTATTTGGTTCGTGACTGGTCTTCCAGAGACGAGTTCAGTTACGGAGCAGTTGGTGGCAAAAAGTACTTGCTGAGGTACACCAAGGTGACCATTCCTTTTTCTCATTAATGAATCTATTAAATTAAATATTATTGGAGAAGTCAAAAAACCATTTCAAATTAGACGCTTATACTTTTTTCAGATTCAATGGCAGCTTTTTGCACTGTCTTGAAAGGCAAAAATCTTACTACTAAAGCATTTTTCAGAATGGATCAGAAGAGATTCAAAAGATATGCAGAAGTGTAGGCAGCTGTTTTGAAACGACATCATGCTTTCTGATGCCTCATCCGAGTTTAGATGTCGCTGAAGCTGAAGACCCGTTTCATTGTATAAGTATCAAAGAAACTTTCCAAAAAATCACTGTTCTTACTAAGTGTAGGCAAAACTATTAATTTTTTTCTCTTTCCACAGATGTCAGAGAGGAATTTTTGAATGAAGTAGAATTGTTTGCAAGAGAACTGCTATCGAAGGACCATCTGGTGGCCAAAAAAATTGCTGGTCATGAAGTAACTTGCCAAGAATTTCTAAAATTCTTCCTTGTAAGTCAGTGATTTGAACGTATAAAAGCTTTCTAAAATTGGTTTCTTTCTTAGATTTATAAATAAGCGCCTATTCTATTGTATCAATGTAAATATTTTGTAATAAGCTATTTCTAGAAATATGCCGAGTTATTCAGTATCGACGGTGGTCCATCTCCGGAAGCTTTGTCCGAGGTTATTTACAGCGAGTTAATTTTTCTAATTAAACGTTTTACGACAGAAAAAGAAAGCGTATTGGAGTTTATTAATTTTACTTTGGTGATTCTCTGCAGGCAAACGAGGAAGTGATTCTTCAAAACTTCCTGCTCGACTGTAAGCTCTATTGTTACGAAAAACTGAAAGAGGTATCTGTTCTGTAGCCATGAAGTGCAAAAATAATTCTTTTTACAAATGTCATACTTAGAAGATGTTGCTTGCAAGTGCAAAGTTAGCTCCATCGTAAGTTCCAATGTACATTTCGCTTTCTTCAAAAAGCAATAAATAACGAAAGAAATACAAGGCACTAAACCTATGCCTTCCCATGTCTAATTGGTTTGATTGTAGGTTTTGAATATAAATAAAACAGAATCTGGTTCTGCAGATTTGCAACAACTATATAACCTGGTAAATTTTACATCTTTTACCCGCCTTTACTTAACTGCTCCAAACTGGTAGCAACGGGAAGTGGCTAGTTCTAATTAAATTCTGCGTTCTTTTGTTACCGTTAGCAAAGATTTAAAAGGCAACAACAGCGAATTCACTGAATTAACTCCAGAATTATCAAAGATATTAAAGCCTTGCGTCAGGGGGAAATTTGAGGAGTTAGAGAAATAAACAAACTGAGAGGATTATCAAAATTTGGGAAAACAACCGTTACGGAAAGCTGTTTCTGTCAATCAGATTTAGCTGGAAATGGACAGATTTGACTATGTAAATTGAAGTTGCGATCAGTGGGTTTTTGCATTAAGTGCTACCAAAAGTGTTGGGTCGGTAAAATACATAGTCCAACCAAAAACTGTTGTCTAAGCAGCGCCAGCTAACTGGCTTAGTTAATAGAGTGCAGAGCATGTACCGATTTTCTTTTTCGGAGAAACTGTAACTTAACGAGTGGAAGCACGTTACTCCGCGAGCTATTAATTTCTTTAAGTCCCTGTATCGCTGTATTTGTGTCCCTGCCGCCAGGTCGGTATTTTGTCTATGTAGGTCCCGCAAATTGTAGTTTTTTTCTGTTTTAGTCAATTATTTGTCACCTTTATTAGTTGACTGGTTTCTCTCACCGCTTATCTTAAGTCTGCCCCGAAGTATCTTGCCTTACCATTTCAGCTAAATAATTGCTAATAATAAAAATTTCACGAGTAGAATGAGCTCAAAGTTAATTGAATGTTGCATAAAGAGGCCTTCAGTAGAGCAACTATAAAAAGCAAGAAAAATAAAGTTGTTTGCTTAGACCTCGGTGAACCGGAGAGTAGACTTCAAGCCTGCTGCCGCTTTGCAATGGAGTAGTTCGATCTCACCTCCTGGGCACCAAATAAATACTGCAACTAAATGAAACCAGATAGCTCTTTCTTTCTTCTCTCTTCATAGTTGCTCCACTGAAGGTCTCTCTACGCAGTACTTAATCAACTCGGCGCCCTGTCTACTCGTAAAATCTTTATTGTAAGCAGTAATTTAGCTAAAAGAGTAAGACAGGAAACTCTAACAGGCTTAAAATACAAGATGTGAGAGAAACCATTCAAGTCGCGAAGGTGACAAATAACTGATCGAAACAGAAAAAGAACGCCACAAGTTATGCGACGAACACAGACAAAATACCGATCTGCATGATGATTCTCGAATCCAGTGGCAGCAGGGACACAAATACAGCAATACAGGGATTTGAAGGAATTAATAGCTCGCGGAGTAACATGCTTCCACTCGTTAAGTTACAGTTCTTCCAAAAAAGAAAATTGAAACATACCTTGCATTCTATTAAGCAGGCTAGCTGGTACCTACTTAGATGAAAACTTTTAGTTGAACAGTGCATTTTACCAATCCAACACGTCTGGTGACATTTAATACAAAAGCCTGGTTTTCGGGGCCTTAATTTGCATAGTCCGATCCGTCCGTTTCGAGCTAAATCTGGATGACAGATATAGCTTCCTACGCCAGTTCTCATGACAGAATTGTTGCACCGGTGCGGCAGAATACTACATCATTTACATTTTTCCTTGGGTGGCTCTTCGAAATTATTCACACAAAAAGGATCAGTAAAAACTGTAAAATGCTTGAACTACAGGTTTAAAACAACTGTATATATGGATTGTAAAACATTCTTTAGCGTCTGCCAACACCGCCTTTGGCTTACAAGGCTCCTAATGAAAACAAGTAAGAAACAAGTAAGCCATGAACTACCCATGCAATCTTAATAGTTTTGCTTTAGCATTCAAGTTAAAATGGCACAAGGAACAGTTTTTTGGAAGTGAAAGAACTTTATGACCTCATTAAACCCGCTCTCTTGAAGAGACTTAAAGAGAAATTGGGTAGTGTTGACTCTCAAAGTTTCCAACGACTTGAAGGACAATTGGGAAATTATTTTGAGGTTCTCCCTATCAACAGCCTCTTTATGAAAATTAACCAACTTGAGAAGTTGAATCAGTAACTGAAGGAACTTGCCTCTAATTGGAGAATCACAAGAATTTATGTCTCAGAAAATTGTATGTTACATAAATCCTTATCAGCAGTAAAAGCAGAATTTCAGAGTGAATATGAGAGGATAAAACATGAGATAAAACAAAATATTCTTCTACTTCAGGTGTTAAAAGTAGTTCAAGAACGGGAAGATCACTATAGTGATGAGATGGAACAGGTATTTTTTCTCGTAATTACTGTTAATGCACAAATAATACCTTATTGAAAGACAAATACTATGTGACTGTTGGATAAAATAACATGATTTCAGCTTTTCCCATGGGAAACCTGTTATAATCCTTTAGCAATAATTAACGGAAACTCGTTCTTTTTTATGCTCACCTTTTAGAGCTTAATTCAGTGCGGGGTTACAACGACTACTGCTAGCTTGGAAAAGCTCTACAACTTGGTAATTCTTTTAATATTATTTTCCTCGTTAATAGTGCATAAATTTCAGAGATTGCGAGTTCCATTTTCTTGTATTTTTAGTATCTAGTAGGGAACAAAAATGGTATCGACGATTCACAGTTGCAGCCGTTGCATTAACGAAAAGCCTCTAAAGCTGTACACAGCTTAAAGCTAAAAATTAGTAGGATCGCTAGTGGATCAACTGCAGAATGGGTTGACGAGCTCCAACAACGCATTCGGGTTCTTTTTGTCTTTTCTAACTAAAATCCAGTAAAAATGAATAGTTGATATCAACCAGCATTTCTAGCCCTTCCCGCAAACTGCGCAAAAAACCATGCCCACACAATACTTTCCAGGATCAACACTAGCTCTTTTTTGTAAATCTTCAGTTTCAACGGCTGTGACAATCTTTAACGCGTTTCGGGTCAAGTACGATGAAATAGCTAGTATTGTGTGCAAGAATGATGCTAGTTTTGAGAATGTCCTTGGAGTACTTGGCCAGCATTGTGAATTTTACAAGAATGAGATGAACGAAGTCCGTTTAAATCCTAGTAGTATTTGATTCTCTTGGTAGCTTAAGGAAAGTTCAACTGAATTATAAAGACAAAGTTGAAAGTGGGAGGTGCTGAAGATGTGAAATGATATTTAAACGGTAAAGTTTTTTGCCTAATATCTGCATTTTAGTTCATAAGACGCGAAGGTGAAGGCATCACTCTTGCAGCTTTGAAAGAGCAACATGCCAGCAAGATGGAAGAAGTCTTAAAAAATATAGAATCAGAACTCGCTAAAATTGCTGAAGGGTCGTCGACGAGATGGTTAAAAAGCATAAGAGTTTATCCAGGTTCTCTTTTTGAAAATCGAAATTATTTTGAAATTTTTTCCGTACGATCATCAAAAAGTATTTTTGGCAAAAAAATTGAGTTATTCTCGCCCTAACCAGTAGCATTTTGACGAAAAAATTATCAAAAAAATCACTCCTGTATACTTGCGTTTGTCTCTCTGTTGCTTACTTTTTATGACCGTTCTTTGTTGTACCACAAAATTGATAAGTGTGTAAAACTTAAAACTTTACCTGCTCGATTGCGCACTAGTCGCAAAGCCAAAAAAGCTTACCTTGGGAAGTGTGCTTGCAGTAGGATTAGAATTAGATTTCGCAAAAGAGAAAAGAATTTACTCCTCAGGAACGAACTTGCAAACGTATAAATTTGATCATTTATAATGAATTTTTACCCAGTTTCAATAGCAAAAACACGTTCAGCTTTTCATATCAGCAGCGTGCACATAAGATAAGAGGCAAAACGACACCTAGAAATTTACCTTGTTAACCTCAGAAAAGAGACCTTCAAACGCAAAATATGGGAGCTGTAAAGTTACCATCGTGGGAAACCCGAAATTGAGAAATGAAGATTGCTGGAGTGCTACCAAGTTTTCTAGACTTTCTTTATATACTGGATATCTCAAAAAACAAGCGCATTTTTTGTACGTCTAAGAAAGCATTATTCTGTTGAATTAAAATATCCCCAAAATATATTGAATACGTTAAAAGTTCTTTAGTTTAGCTTCATCTGTTGTCCTACGACTGTTGATCCGCTAAGGTTATTAGTTTATAATTTTAATGGTTTTACAGTATAATTAGAGCAGCCTGATATAAAAATTTTGCCGTTTTCGAACCTCAGTACTAGGACAAATTTTATGATTTCGATTTACCGATACTGTTGTTATAGGCAGCTTATATGGAGTTGGAGAAACCTATTAAGGAAAAAGAAACTGAGCTGAATCCTAAAGCGAAGGTTCTCTTAGCAACCAGTGTCATTCCGGTTACTACATTAACAACAGCAGCGGCAACTCCAGCTGTGCTACCTGCTGTTTTTAACAGTATTGCTGCTACTGAGGCTATTGGTGGTGCTGCCAGCGCAGGTGTTGCCTTCTTCGGTTTATTCAGTCTTGGAAGTGCCTATCTGCGACGTAAAAAGTAAGCATCTAAGCACTGTTTTTTGAGGGCAAATGAAAATATTTTAATGAGCCAGTGCAGAACCTTCTAATAATAGGACTACTGACCACCTTCGTTAAAAGAAAAAATGGATTTATACAGTCTTCTTCTTATTTCAGCGGTAGTATAGAAGGCACGAAGAACTAACGAAGCTGTGAAACAGTGGTGTCGCCAGTTTAGCGAAAGAATTTGTTGTCGACAAAAAAAAAATAAAAATTTCTGCGACAGGCGGGTGGTGAAATTCAATTGGTACCGTACAAAACAGAAAGATTTTTTTATTAGTCTGAAGGGTGTTTTTTCTATCCGTATTGAGATGACTAGAGAAGGCTTAAGAGAAAAAAAGGAAGAGAAAAAAGAACAGAGATGGAACTGTAGAGTGAAATTCTCGTAGCCAAAAAGTAATGAGCTTTAGATAAGCAGGTATTGGACGTTGCATGTAGGCGGATGTGCATCTATAAAGTATTAACAACCTAACGGACCAACAACATGAATAGCCTCAGCAAATAATAGAGGCCAATTTCCAATCTAAAGTTTGGTCCCCAGCATACATCCTTCGCTTATAATTAATATTTTTAAAGCAAAACTGTAAGAATTCAAGGTTATGGCAGTTTAAAACTGCTCTGAACAGTACTTCCAGTGTTACTTAAAGAAGAAGCTTTCTTTCAAAATACTAACCTTTGAGAGAAAATTTCAACGTGACTGTAATATCCTGATGGCACGCAAAAGGCAACAAGCGATATAGTCGCGGCTATCGATCTGCTTCTAAGGGAGAGAGAGTTATGTTACGAAGTTTTCCCTTAAATAATATTTGGACCCCAAAGTCTGCATTTTATTCTTTTTAAGATCACTCTTCTCTCACTTGTTGTATATTTTGGTACAACTCTCTGTTAGCGATCTTACCATCCTTCCTACATTTAAAGTCTGTTTGTCAATTTCATCGTGTTCGCTAAGATAGTGGACCAACATCCAAAGTCTTTTCTTTCACACTGCAAGTGTTACAAAGTTAATAAAGAATTTATACATTATAAATAAGTGTCACAGCAAAACGACTGAACGTCAGGAAAAGGATTCCGATAAGTCCTGTCAGGCGTGTTGGTACTGTGAGCATCGGCAACTGTGATCGTTCACAGTGGTTAGTTTAGGAAGTGAGGTCTCCAAGAGATATAATATAGAGGAGCGACACATCCCCTCAATTAAGATTGCTGGTGATAGTTGCGACATGTAATGACCACATTTTACGAAAGAAAAAGGAACTGATTTTAGTCAGGGAGTTGATGATAATTGGTCTAAAGCTGCGTGATATGTTTTAGAACAGGCCCCCATCAAATTTAATTAAGTAATAAAGTCCAAATCCCTTAAGTGTAATATTAATTCCTTGCGTCTGTTGTATAATGTTTCAAAACTAACAGTGAGACAAAATCGGCAAATGATTTTAAAGAAACGGCAGCTTCGCAACAGCTTACCAGCCTCTTCCTCCAGCCAATGTTTAAGCTAAATTTTGTTTTATTTGACAGATTTAAGAAGCAATAAATGACAGTATTCGCTAGAGAGGCGATTTTTTAAGCTGAACAAAGCTGAATTCTTGCAGATGTTGACTTCACCGTTCATATAAACTTCTCCTACTCAAATACTGTTGCTGAACATCCGAGAAAACTGATCTGGTAAATTATAAAATGAAAATAAGATTCAAAAGTAACAATATTTCGCGTTTCTCTACCTCAACGGCACAAAAGTATACCGGAGAAGTATATTTCTTCAAACCTGAAACTTATTAGAGAAATAAACCTTGCTTATCTATCTGTGCAAAGAAAAGAAAATGTGACGGCAATCTGTCGCCAAAGTTCCACATCTATGGCAACATTTCCAGATGACTGGCTGTCGACTGGACAATTGCCAACGTCATTATAGGCAATGAGCCGGTGATGGTTGCCCGAGGTATGATATGCTTTTTTTAAATGCAGCTTCGTTGTAGATTATCAGGGGTTTAGACGAGCAGAATGCTTTTGAGGCAGTTCATAATTTTATCCCGTTGTTCATTATTTATGGACTTCCGTTTGACTTATTTGAACTGAACCAAAACTGCTGACTTTAAAAGTTTGTTTTGTCATTGGCCTTACTGAGGCTTGAGCACTTTTTTGCTCCAGAAAATGCTCAGTAATCGTCAATAAAGCAAATTCGCGGGGTACGGTTTCTTTTGGGCAAAGACATCAAGGCTGTCAGTTGGTTTCGTTTAATTTTGTACAAACTGAACAAGTTTAGAGTAGTACTCTCTCTTTCTTCCACCGACAGGGCGGTTCGCAAGCTGGAAGGGCTGAAAAAAGTTAAAATGTCAAGCTTAATTCACTGGGTATTGTTTTACGGCTGTGCGAAATAGATTTATTATGTCATTCTTGCTTTGTAATAATTAGGCCAGATTTGTTAGGAACGATGATGGCTTATTTGTTTTTCTGTGCCAGGTAAAATTATCTCGGAAAAGATCTTGCACTAAAAAATCATGATGCCGTTTTCTGTTGTTCTTAATTTGCTACTTGATCAGAAAACAGCATCCTAATTTCGACAGTTTTTTTGGAACATTGTGAATGAAGCTTTTGATTACAACGTTTTTTCCACATCAACGTAGAACGCACGCTACTGCCCTGCAGTTGACGAAAATAGAAAATACGGTTATTGCGAAAACAGATTTTCATTTCTTTTCTATTCTTTTTATCTGAAAAAATTCTGGAATAAGTTTAGTTCAGTATATCGTGATAGCAAAAAAAGTTTTTCTATGACTTCACATCAAGAAAAACTTTGACTGCATTTTCACTATTGTTCAACTACTGCTCAGCATTCTATTATTTGGTGCTTAAAAGGAAGTTTTTTATTAATAGTTACTGAACAAATTGATTATGATTGTATTGAACAAAGTCAAATCAAATATCTGTGCAAACATGAAGCCACTTCTGGCAAACGCGCAACGTGCTCAAACCAGTTCTATTTCTCGGAGCAGTAATAGTTATTCGGATGAAGCTCTTGAAAGCGGAAATTCGGTAAATTTTTCGACTTTTTTCTTTTATTGCTTTTTTTTTCTCAATTTTGTTAATTAAGGTTTTCAGTTTATAATATATGTTCTTTTTTTTTACTTTTCTGTATTCTCCTCAAGTTTTTCATTTTTAAAATTATTAAAGGGTAGTTTTAAGTTTTAAGGGTTATAATGCACTTACATTTAGATACAGCAGAGTTAACAGCAATTTCCAACATAATCTTTTTTTACTTGTCACCCTTCTTCTTTTATGCTCTTCTTCAAATTAAAGCCATATTCCCATGTACAGTTGACAGTAATTAGAAAACGGGAAAAACCTTATATTTTTCGTGCTTGAGTTAAAATGTGTTTCTTGCACTGCTGCATCTCTGTATCATTTCATTTTTTTTTTCTGTAGTAAAGGACCTTTAACGGAAGGAAATTAATATTAAAATTGCCTAGCTGTTTAGTTCCCGCTTCAGGAACTGCTCTAAACAGCACGTTTTTACCTGTTAATAAGAAGCTGATAGACATTATCAGTCTCTATTGTGAGGGACCTAGGTTATCCTAATGTACATTAAATAAGTATCATTTTTGTATTCATAATCTCTTACGGATTTTTCCAGGCAACTTTTCCGCACACTATTTTAATTTTTGTTGCTAAGCACTGTAAGTGTAGAATGCTTCAGTAGAAGTTCTTTTCGCTGTAGTTCTCTGTATAACGTCTGCTGTTCTGTTATCAAAAATGTTTAAACGTTTTACCAATTTGTTGTAAGATGCGTTTAAAAATGTTTTTTAGGAATTTAAAACTATTTACAAGCGTTACAAGAAACGGAATCCGCCTGCCAGTCTTAGTGATGTTTTATATCCTCGAATTGGAGGCGATGCTTTCTGTAATATTCCAGTTTCATTCGAAGGTCACTCAAGCTCATCATGGATAAAGCAGCTGGGGTTGCGATCGGTAGATCAGTGGAAGTGCTTAAGTTTAGAAAATCACGAGGGATTGTATATTTTGACAGATATTATTGAAGAAGATCGTCATCTTGAATGGTTTAAACGATGTTTGTATGCTTATCCTGAAGGTTCCGGAAAAACAAATGTTCATCTTCATTTTCCTGACGCGCATGAGGTAACACCTCAGTTAAATTGCTAGCAATTTTGTTAAGTTTTTTCAGTTTCTAAAGTTCAGAACTTTCTATTCTTCAGCCATTTGTATTTTGAAATTTTTGGGTAAGAGAAGTTTTCTCACTACAAGTTATTTCTATGATTTTCAATTGAAAGTTTGTTAGTATAATCTTTATCATGTAGGGTACAGACTGATCAGGAGGGAAAATTGTAAGTTTTAGTTTTTTTCAGAGCTTTTTGTAAAATTTTTGCATAACTATTAGTTTAAGTAGTGAGAGTCACTATAAGAGATTTGTATTTTAAATGCCTAAGAAACTGTTAAAGGACGTTTTAAATACATTGAGTCGTTTTACTTTTTTTTTATGGAAAGAGAAATTCCAACCACAGTTTCTGGTGTTTAATAAGATCAGTGTCATTTTGGGGTAAATTACTTTCTTTCATTAATGAATGTGTTTTGCTTTTTTTAAGTTCGTTGACTACCTTCAGTATTTATCATTGTTTGACTTTAAAAAAGCTATGTAGCTTCAGTTTTTGGATTTTT